AGTCGACCTTCAGTCGAACCTGAGTCGAACCTGAATCGAACTCGAGTCGAACGTGAATCGAACTTGAATCGAACTGGGGTCGGACTAGAGTCGAACAGAAGAGTTCGGTGGGCCCCAGGACGGTCCCCCAAACAAGCATCTAAGGGAGGAAGCCCCCACCACCCACCGCCCGCATTCCCGCTGTGGCGACGCCCCTCCCTCCCCGCCGAGGCGACATCGCAAAATGTCACCACTGGAGCCCCAGACCCCATCTCCCTGCATCATGTCTCGAGCGGGATAAATCTGTCAGGGTACTGGGGTTATGTTGCTCCCATCGTACTTACGGACCACATCCCAGAATTTCGCCGGCCCAACGGGCCAGAGGCATGCTAAGATCTCCGGTGTCTGGTTCACAATAGTTCCCGAAAAAGTACCCCGGCAAGGTCCCGGGAGGAGCCACCAGAGCACTCCAGGGGAGGGCCATTGTTCGACACCCCTCACGAGGATCGTGGCCTCCGAGGGGGGAGCCGCAATCGACTACCCTCCCTCCCGCCCTAAGAGGCCTCCAAGAGCCCCCCAAGAGGCCCTGGGGGCCCCCAAGACGCCGCAAAGGAGCCCCAAGAGACTCCCAAGAGGGCCCCAAGAGGCACAATTCATTGCTTTTTCCTCAGGTGTTGGGGAGATTTCGGCGTTTCCACCTTTTCGGCATCGCGACGCCCCAAGACGGCCCCAAAAGCCCCCAAGATCGCCCTAAGAGGACCGAGAGGCCTCCGACAGGGCCCCAAGACGGCCCAAGAGGGTTCTAAGACGGCCCAAGAGGCCTCCAAGACGGCCCAAGAGGACCCCAAGAACGCTCTGAGAGAAGTCCCAGAGGGGGAACACGAAGGAACATTTCGAGCCCTCGGCCCTAAGAAGCCCCCAGGAGGCGCCACGAGGCCCCTTTCAAGCCCCAGGAGGCCCCCCAAAAGTCCCTCGAGATAGCCCCCAGACGCCCCACGAGGCTTTCAAGAGCACTCCCAAGGGGGCCCCCAGAGGCAAAATTCATTGCTTTTCCTTAGGTGTTGGGGAGGTTTTGGCGTCTCCACCTTTTCGGCATCGCGACGCCCCAAGACGGCCCAAGAGACCCCAAGATCGCCCTAAGAGGACCGAGAGGCCTCCGACAGGGTCCCAAGACGGCCCAAGAGGGTTCCAAGACGGCCCAAGAGGCCTCCAAGACGGCCCAAGAGGGCCCCAAGAGAAGCCCCAGAGGGGGAACACAAAACAACATTTCGAGCCCTCGGCCCTAAGAAGCCCCCAGGAGGCAACACGAGGCCCCGTTCAAGCCCCAGGAGGCCCCCCAAAGGCCCTCGAGATAGTCCCCAGACGCCCCACGAGGCTTTCAAGAGCACTCCCAAGAGGGCCCCAAGAGGCACAATTCATTGCTTTTCCTTAGGTGTTGGGGAGGTTTTGGCGTCTCCACCTTTTCGGCATCGCGACGCCCCAAGGCGGCCCAAGAGGCCCCCAAGATCGCCCTAAGAGGACCGAGAGGCCTCCGACAGGGCCCCAAGACGGCCCAAGAGGGTTCCAAGACGGCCCAAGAGGCCTCCAAGACGGCACAAGAGGGCCCCAAGAACGCTCTAAGAGAAGCCCCAGAGGGGGAACACGAAGGAACATTTCGAGCCCTCGGCCCTAAGAAGCCCCCAGGAGACGCCAAGCGGCTCCGAAGCCGCTCCCAGAAGCCCAAAGATGCTCCCAAAGGAGCTCCAAGGAACCCCAAAGAGGCTCCAACAGAAACCCAAGAGGCCCCCAAGAAACCCCCAACGAAGACCCCAAAGGCCCCCCAAAAGCCCAAACGCCAGCGAGGACACAATACGGGCCGGCGGAATGAGCGAAGCGATTCAATAATTTCGAGCCTCTGGAAGAATGTAGGAAGAGTGCCGAAACAAGGTCGGACGAGTGACCCCCAGGGCCCGACACGTGAAACCCCCAGAGTTTCTGTATACTTTGCTGGTGCTCGAAATTCTCCGGGCGAAGGCGCCCACCGTGACACAAAATGCACCGCCAGGATCTCAGAGGTAGAGGGCGACGAAATCTACCCATATCCACTGCTCCCTGGCCAGGTCTCCTCCTCCTCCTCATCATTTCCTCCGCCTCCTCCTCCTCCTACTTCTCCTCCTCCTCCCCCTCCTGGTCGTCGTCGATGTCTTTCAGGGACGGCGGCACCGGCCGTCAGGCCTTCACAATCTGCACGTACCCACTACTCCCTGGCCTTAAGTCAGGCCTGTCCCCCCACAGGGAGATCTTCGACGAAAAAACAGAGTCAACAAATGTTCCAAAAGGGCACAAAAGTTTCCCTGCGCCTCCCGGCGCCGGAGGCGGCTATGTCTCAGGAAATGCTTATTTTCCCGACACCAGCTGCATGCAGCAGATTTCGTACCCCCCCTTCTCAATCCCCCTTTCGTTCGGCCCGAGAGAAGGCCCGCCTCTCCTCGCTTCCCCCCCCCTCGCTCGCCTACTCCTCCTCCTCCTCCTCCTCCCCCTCCTCCTCCAGCAAGTCCAGGCGGGGCTCTCCTCCTCCTCCTCCTCCTCCTCCTCCTCCTCCTCCTCCTCCTCCCCCTCCTCCTCTCCTCCTCCCCCCTCCTCCCCCTCTCCTCCTCCTCCTCCTCCTCCTCCTCCTCCTCCTCCTTTCCCAATCCCCCCCTTTCCTGCGGCTCGACCCTGGCCCGGCCCACCCGAAGCCCGGCATGCGGCTCACACGCGGCGCTGCCTCCCGGCTCGGCCAGGATAGGGCGCACGCGCGGACCCTGGGCCCACGGAGGGCCCTGCCGGGGAGGTTTCTCTCTTCGCTTGAGTCGGGCCTGCCCCTCTACAGTGAAGTCGGGCCTGTCCCCCTACAGGGGGATTTCCGACGGAAAATCAAAAATACCCCAAAAATAATCCAAAAATAATCCAAAATAGGCTGGGGACCATGTTTGGATTATTTGTTGACCTTTTTGGGGCATTCTTGGGGTACTTTTTATTTTTCGTCGAAGATCCCCCTGTAGGGGGACACGCCCGACATAACCCTGCAGGCCGATTTTAAACGAAAAATTACACATAGTCAAAAAAACATCAAAATATTCCAAAATGGTAGGAACAAATCGTCCCCAGACTATTCTTTTGGACTATTCTAAAACATATTCCTCCTCTAGAGGGACAGGCCCGACTGAATTCTTCGCCCGAAGAGCGGGGGTCGCCTCCAGCGCCGCCGGGGGGGGGGCCAGGCGCGCCCATCCAAGAAATCCGCGCGGAGCGCCAGAGGTTTGTGTTTATGGAGTCTCCTTCCCTTTTCCACGCCCGAGAACCCTGACCTTCCAGGAGGGCAAAAAAATAGCACCAGGACGTCGACGTCCTAATTCCTGTCGAGGTTTGAGGCAGTCCAGATAGATCTATAGGTATGGAGTGCTATTTTTTAGCACTCTGGAAGGTGAGGGAAGAGGAGGGGGGCCAACGGGCCACCGGCCATGGCGACACGCCCGGGCCCCCAACTGCAATGCTGACGCCGATGCTGGCGACAGTAATTTGTGTGTGTGTGTGTGTGTGTGTGTGTGTGTGTGTGTGTGTGTGTGTGTGTGTGTGTGTGTGTGTGTGTGTGTGTGTGTGTGTGTGTGTGTGTGTGTGTGTGTGTGTGTGTGTGTGTGTGTGTGTGTGTGTGTGTGTGTGTGTGTGTGTGTGTCGACCCCGCGGACCGCGCCTGCGCGCGTCCATCCACGCTGAGATTCGGGGCGAGGGGTAAAAGGAAAACTTGCGTTTCGGGGATGGACGGACCCCCTTTAGCAAAACGTGGTTTAGTGAAAACGACCTGAGGCCCAAACCTGGCGGGCGCAAGCCTGGAAAATAACGGCCACGGCGCCCTCTCGACAACCGAAAACGGACAATTCACGAATCGACGTGTCACTGTTGGGGGCTCTGCCCACCCCCGAGCGTTCGATTTCGAGGAGGGGGGTGGCAGCAACGCCCGAAAAACGAGCGGGGGCCAACGGGCCGCCCTGGGCCAGGGGCGCTTCTCCTGAGGCCCGACGCTGCGACAAAAAGGGCAACGCCGTGAACACTCGCGACCGGAGGCCCGCAGCCGGTCTTCCTGCGCCACTCTTCGAGCCAGGTCGACTCGCGAGGGCCCCCCAGGCCCGAAGACGAGCGACGACGCCCGCTGCGTAAAAAATGCATCGCCAGGATCTCGGGCTTATGTTTTTGTTGGTTTTGTTTTGTTGGTGGGGGAGAGCGGACCGCATGCTTCAACAGCCGCCGTCGCAACGCGACTGCCAGTTGCACTTGAAAGCCGTTTACCCCACGCCAAGGGTGTGGAAACGGACGCACACACAGTGCCGAAAGAGAGGAGGAGGAGGAGGAGGAGGAGGAGGAGGAGGAGGAGGAAGAAGAAAGGATCTCAGGCTTTTCTTTCTAACCCGAGAAGAGTCGGTGGCGGCCAAGAAGGGGGCGTCCAAGGGGAGGCGCAAATCATGTCAGGGACGCAATGAAATAAGAAGAGGCGCCTTGAAATCTTGGGAGACATCATGGCCCCCGCCATGATATTCCCCCCTCCCCTGGTCCCCTGACCTTCCAGAGTGCTAAAAAATAACACTCCAGACCTATAGATCTGTCTGGACTGCCCCAAACCTCGACAAGAATCAGGACGTCGACGCCCTGGCGCTATTTTTGTTGCCCTCCCGGAAGGTCAGGGCCCCCCGGCGCCCCCCAAAGGCCGACCCCGACCCCGCAGCGGCGAGGACTTGCCGCTCGCCGCGCGAAGTGCCGGGGCGCCGCGCGCGGGTCGCCACCGCGGGGCGGGTCGGCGGGTCGGCCTCCAGGGCGGGGCGCTGGGGGCGCTTCTCCTGGCCTCACGCCGGGCGTGTCCCTCTGCATCAGGAGGGGAAAAAACACACAGAGACACAATTAATCGTCGATTCCCCCTGGAAGGTCAGGGTCATCATCACCCCTCTCTTTTGCCGCCCCCGACAGAGGAGGGGGCCCCCGGGCCGCGGGCCATCGTCGTCTGGGGCGTCCAGCGCGCGCCGCAGCTGCTGCGGGGGGGCGCCCTCCAGCGCCGCCTGCAGCGCGGCCGCGTCGCCCTCCTGCCGCTATGGGGCGGGCTGCCAGGGGGCGCTCCCGAGGCTCACGTCGGGCTTGTCCCACTACAGGCGATTTTGGGGCGGAAAAAATCCCAAAACATGCCCCCCAAATATTTAAAAAAATGCGAAAAATGGTCCCCAGACCATTTGTTTTACTATTATTGAATATTCCTCCCGTGGAGGGACAGGCCCGAGTTAAGCCGAACACCGGGACAAGGAAAGGCGACACCAGCACCGCCCGGGCGAGGAGATGCGAGGAGGCAAGGGGAAGGGGGTTCTCCTCCCTGGTGGCGTGGTCCCCACCTCTCTCGCTCGAGACTTGTGGATGCCACGACAATGGATACCCTAACAGTTCTGTCATCGAAATACAAAATGTGTTGAACATGTAGGAGAATGTCATGAAAATGTTTAAGGCATGCTTTTACATTTGTCTAACAATTTAATGCATGTTCGAAGGACATGTGGATTTTTGGGGCAACATGCTTCCTCTCCATTGATCGTCCGCAACAACTCGAGACATCTGCAGCTTCCGGCTCGGGGAGGCATCGTGGACCTCCTTGCTGGAGGTGGGGCCCCTGGCGGTGTTGGTGTCGCTCCTCCTCCCTCCGGCAACAGACGCTTTGTTGCCCAGCCGGACAGGTGGGGGTCCATCGGCGGCGAGCGAGGGGGGAAGTGAGAAGGAGAAGGCCTTCTCAGAAGGCGGCGGGACTTCTGAGAAGGCCGGGGACTTCCATTCCGAGCCTTCTTAGGAGGCCCCTTCTCCCAGGTCGGGCATGTCCCCCTGCAGGCGGATTCTGGTCGAAGCATTGAAAACAGTCAAAACATGATCAACAACAGTCAGAAGAAATGGTTGAACACTCGTCCCCCGACAGTTTTTAACTATTTTCGAATATTCCTCCTGTAGTGGGACGCGCCCGACTTTTACGCTGGAGCAATGGGGGAAACACAAACGGGGGGACGGCAGTAGGTGCAATAGTTCGTTTGCCTGAACTATTGCGCGCGAACTGTTGCGAGGGGGCACGAACTATTCCAAACCGCCTGAACTGTTGCGCACGAAACAAGACGAAGCAACACCCGCGCGGAACTATTGCATCCACGCCGCAAACTATTGCATCCAAGCGCCAACTATTGCATGAACTATTGCGCCTACCCCGCTCCCCCCATTTGTGTTCCCCCCATTACTCTGGCTTAGACCACTCCACCCTTCTCACTTGCACCCATGGGTGGGCGGGTGCCGCCTGGGCATCCCGCCCCGTGCCTCCGACGGGTGGCGGCTGCTCGCCGCGGCCGCCCGGCCCAGATTGTGTGCGTGTCGGTGCACCCCGGGGAGGCCGCCCCGCGTTCTCTCGAGTGGGGATCGCTCGGCTCAGAATGCTTCGATGAGGGGCAACGATCGGGGAGGATGGGCACAGGGAGGGGGGGATGCATCGACCTGGACTCGGCGAGACATCGTAGATGGATCGGCGGTAGGCCTCCGATAGTGAATCCGCACCTTCCTGGGCAGGTTGGGGCTATCGGGCCCCTATCGGCGATCAATGGGCGATTGGGGGTCGATGCATCCCCCCCTATGCCTATCCCCCGGAAAGATCGGCGGTGGACAGACCTCCCTTTTAATAAACCACCCTTTCGTGAAACAACGGCCTGGAACCGAAGCCGGCGACCCCTGGACCCGCAACCGTGACGGCCGCGACGCCCTCTCGCGAACCGAAAACGGCCAATTCGCTAATCGACGCGTCAGGGTAGGAGGTCGATCAACCTCCGAAAACGAAGGGGTCTCACGCGAGATGGCACAGCGACCTCACGCAGCAGCTTGCGCGGGCCGCCGGCTCGGCACGCCAATGGAGACGAGGGCGCTTACGCGCGACCTTACGCGGGCAGCTTGCGCGCCAATGTCGGCGCAGGCGACCGTGTTTTGCAGCGATGAAAACGCACAAGTTGAGCAGGGACTGACCGTCCCAGTATCCCTATAGGACTACCACGACATGTTCTGAGAACACACAATCGATGTAAGAACAACAAATGTTCTTAGAACATAAACCCGACGTGTTAAAACAAGACAGTCCCAGCCAGAAATGTTCTAAGAACATTTCGTGGAAACCACAAAAGGCTCTTAGAATATTTTTTGGTAGGCCTGTAGGCACGCCAGGACGCGTCGCCACTGCTTGAACAAGCATTTGGCCCCTTGAGCGTGGCCTTGGGGGCATGGCGCACCCCTGGCCATCGGCGGCGGGCGAGCGCCTATAAACGGTATGGTACCAGCCCTCTGGACAAGCGCCCTGATCGAGCGTGCTGAGCTCCCCGGCTCAGGAGGTGGCCCAACATCATCGGTGAGCTCGGATGGGGATGTGAGGAGGGGCGGGCCTTCCAAGAAGTCCCCCCCAAACCTTTCACAAAGACGCAAGGAAACCGATCCGAAGGCCAGAGGGTGTCTGGTAAGCTCCGCCACCTTCTGAGAAGGCCTCCTCCTTTTCACTTCCCTCCCTCGCTCGCGACCGGCCACAGCTGTCCATGCCATCCTGAAACTCATGGAGCATCTTCGCGGCAGGACAATACATCCTCACACTTTCAATCAAATCGGGCATGTCCCTCTGCAAAAGAAAACTCAAAGATAGAAGTGACGGTGACGACGTTTCGTGTTTGTTTGCGTTTGTTGCTCGGTCCATAAATCTGCCTGACCTACCTAAGCGTACAGGGAGGAGGACGGGCATGCTACAGGTATGGGTGCGAGCTATCGGTCCCCGACAAGGCTCCGACCCCCATCCGACACCAGGCGCCGACAGCCTGGGCGCGGCTTTCTGGCCCCAAGGGTAGCAGATTGATTCGGATGGCCGACAGCTTCATTAGCTTCGATAGCTTCGATAATTCATTCGCCGTATTCGTCGTCGTCGTGGTCGTCGTGGTCGCCCTGATCGTCGTCGTCCTCGTCGTCATCGGCGTCGTGAGGGGTTTCTGGAGGACTTTGGGGTCTACGTGGGACACCCGGGGGCACCTCAGAGCAAGCGACCCCTTTGGCAATGCCAGGTCCGCAGCGGCGGCTGGTAGAACTCGTCGGAGACGACGCCGCCAGCGCCGCCGTGGCCGTGGCCGTGGCCGTGGCCGTGGCCGTGGCCGTGGCCGTGGCCGTGGCCGCCGCCGCCACCGTCGTCGTCGTCGTCGTCCTCGCCGTCGTCCTCGTCCTCGTCGTCGTGGTCGTCGTCGTCGTCGTCCTGGACGTCGTGATTGTCGTCGTCGTCGTGGACGTCGACGTCGTCGTCGTCGTGGTCGTCGTCGTCGTTGTTGTGGTCGTCGCCGTCGTCGTCGAAGTGGTGGTGGTCGTCGTCGTGGTCGTCGTCGTCGTCGTCGTGGTCATCGTCGTGGTGGTCGTATCGTCGTCGTGGTGGTCGTGGTCGTGGTCGTCTTCGTCGTCATCGTCGCTGTCCTCGTCGTCGTGGTGGTCGTGGCCGTCGTGGTCGTGGTCGTCATCGTCGTCGTCGCCGTCGTCCTTGTCGTCGTAGTCGTCGTCGTCGTCGTGGTCGTCGTCGCGGTCGTGGTCGTCGTCCTGGTCGTAGTCGTCGTCGCCGTCGTGATCGTCGTCGCCGTCGTCGAGTTCGTCGTGGTCGTCGTGATCGTCGTCGTGGTCGTCGTCGTTGTCATCGTCGTGATCGTCGTCGTCGTGGTCGTCGTGGTCGTAGTCGTCGTCGTGGTCGTCGTCGTTGTCGTGGTCGTCGTGGTCGTCGTCGGGGTCGTCGTCGTCGTGGTCGTCGTCCTCGTCGTCGTGGTCGTCGTCGTCGTCGTCGTCGTGGTCGGCGTCGTGATAGTGGTCGTTGTCGCCGCCATCGTCGTCGCCGTCGTCCTCGTCATCGTGGTCGTCGTCGTCGTCGTCGTTGATGTCGTCGTCGTGGTCGTCGTCGACGTCGTCATGGTCGGCGTCGTCGTCGTGGTCGTCGTCGTGGTCGTCGTTGTCGTCTACATCGTCGTCGTCGTCGTGGTCGTGGTCGTCTTGGCCGTCGTCGTCGTGGTCGTCGTCGTGGCCAGATCGTCGTGGTCGTCGTCGTCGTGGTCGTGGTCGTGGTCGTCGTCGTCCTCGTCGTCGTCGTGGTTGTCGTCGGCGTCGCCGTCGTCATCGTCGTCATCGTCGTCGCCGTCCTCGTCGTGGTCGTGATCGTCGTGGTCGTCGTCGTCATCGTCGTCGTCCTCGACGACGTCGTGGTCGTCGCCGCCGCCGTCGACATCGTCGTCGTCGTGGTGGTGGTCGTTGTCGTCGTCGTGGTCGGCGTCGTCATGGTCATCGTTGTGGTCGTCGTTTTCATGGTCGTGGTCGTCGTCGTCGTCGTGGTCGTCGGCCACATCGTCGTCGTCGTGGTCGTCCTCGTGGCCGTCGTCGTCATCGTCGTCGTCGTGGTCGGCGTCGTTGTGGTCGTCGTGGTCGTCGTCGTCGTCGTCATCATCATCGTCCTCGTCGTCGTGGTCATGGTCGTCGTCGTCGTGGTCGTGGTCGTCGTCGTCGTCGTCGCCGTCGAGTCGGGGTCGTCGTGGTCGTCGTGGTCGTCGTGGTCGTCGTCGTCGTGGTCGTTGTGGTCGTTGTGGTCGTGGTCGTAGTCGTGGTCGTCGTGGTGGTCGTCGTGGTCGTCGTGGTCGTCCCCGTCATCGTCGGCGTCGTGGTCGTCGTCGTCGTGGTGGTCGTCGTCGTCGTCGTTGCCGTCCTCGTCAACGTGGTCGTCGTCGGCGTCGTCGACGTGGTCGTCCTCTGTCGTCGTCGTGGTCGTCGTCGTCGTCGTGGTGGTCGTCGTCGTGGTGGTGGTGGTCGTCGTCGTCATTGTCGTCATCGTCGCCGTGGTCGGCCTCGTCGTGCTGGTCGTGAACCTCGTCGTGGTCGTCGTCGTCGTGGTTGTGGTCGTCATCGTCGTCGTCGTAGTGGTGGTGGTCGTCGTCGTCGTCCTCGTCAGCGTCGTGGTGAACGTATCGTCGTCGTGGTGGTCGTCGTCATGGTCGTCGCCGTCATCGTCGTCGTCGTCCTCGACGTCGTGGTCGTCGCCGTCGTCGTCGTGGTCGTCGTCGTCATTGATCTCGTCGTCGTCGTCCTCGTCGTCCTCGTCGCCGTGATCGTGGTCGTGGTCGTCGTCGTCGGCGTCGCCGTGGTCGTCGTGGTCGTCGTCGTCGTCGTGGCCGTAGTCGTCGTGGTCGTCGTCGTCATGGTCGTCGTCGTCGTCGTGGTCGTCGTCGTGGTCGTGGTCGTCGTCGTCGTCATGGTCGTCGTCGTGGTCGTCTTCGTCGTCGTCGTGGTCGCCGCCGTCGTCGTCGTCATGGTCGTCGTCGTCGTAGTCGTCGTGGTCGTTGTGGTCGTGATCGTCGTCGCGGTCGTCGTCGTCGTCGTCCGCGTAGTCGTGGTCGTCGCCGTCGTCGCCGTGGTCGTCGTGGTCGTCGCCGTGGTCGTCGTCGTGGTCGTCGTCGTGGTCGTCGTCGTCGTGGCCGTCGTCGTCGTGGTCGTCGTCGTCATGGTCGTCGTCGTCGTCGTGGTCGTCGTCGTGGTCGTGGTCGTCGTCGTCGTCATGGTCGTCGTCGTGGTCGTCTTCGTCGTCGTCGTGGTCGCCGCCGTCGTCGTCGTCATGGTCGTCGTGGTCGTCGTCGTGGTCGTCGTAGTCGTTGTGGTCGTTGTGGTCGTGATCGTCGTCGCGGTCGTCGTCGTCGTTGTCCGCGTAGTCGTGGTCGTCGCCGTCGTCGCCGTGGTCGTCGTGGTCGTCGCCGTGGTCGTCGTCGTGGTCGTCGTCGTGGTCGTCGTCGTCGTGGTCGTCGTCGGCGTGGTCGTCGCGGTCGTCGTCGTGGTCGTCCTCGTCCTCGTCGTCGTCTTCGGCGCTGTCGTCGCCGTCGTGGTCGTGATCGTCGTCGTCGCCACTGTCACTGTCCCTGTCGTCGTCGGCGGCGGCGCTCCCCCGCGGCGGCGCGCAGCGCGGCCGCCAAGGCCTTCGCGGCGGCCGCCATGCGGCGCGGGACGAGGGCGGGGCGCCCCAGTCCCGCTCGCGTCGCGACAAATGCTCATCAACCGAGGCTGCACAATGAAAGCGTGTACAGTCGGGGCGTTGGCCTAAGGAACGATAAATAAGGAACGAAGCCCCTCTTTTATCCCAAGGAATAACGCATAAGGAACAATACATAACAAATAACGCATAAGGAACTGTAAATAACGCATGCAAGCCTAAGGAACGACCGAGCCCCTTTTGAAAAGTAAGTGTTCCTTATTCAAGCCGCTCGCTGTATTGAGAACGGGTGGTGGGGACGCAAGACCCTTGGAGGCCGAAATTGGGACTGCTGGGGTTGCGGGCGACCTGTGAAGACGGCAAAGGACGGGCCGCAGAAGGGCACCCAAGATGAAGGCGCGCGGCCCTGCAAGGCGCGTTGACTGCATCGGCCTTCCTTGGGGGCGTGGGGGGGGGACGACACGACGACAACGACGAGGAAGGGCGAGGCGGCGGAGGAGTAGGATGAGGTCGGGCATGTCCTCCGACAGGCGGACTGAAGGATGAAAAAATTAGTCAAACCAATCCCGCCAGTCCTGCGGAAGGGGCAGGCCCGACTCACGAGGAGGAGAGGGGGGGCGAGGACCAGGCTGCGGAGGACGCGGGCGAGGAGCGGCGGCAGCTGGAGGAGGAGGACGGGTGGCCTCGCCCTCCTCCTCGTCGACCTCCTCCTCCTCCTTCCCAGCCGCCTCCTCCTCCACACGCTCCTCTTCACATCGCAGTCAGCCCACGCTCCTCCTCATTGTCGACCTCCTCCTCCTCCTCCTCCTCCTCCTCCCCCTCCTCCTCCTCCACATGCTCCTCTCCATCGCAGTCACAGCCTCTGCTCCTCCTCCTCGTCTCGGCATCACTCCTATCCCCTCCCCCTTTCCCACGCCTTGAATATATACATATCTCTATATATATACGTAAAGACACACAGGCGCCCTCCGACGACCAGGGAGGGTGGCGGTGCACAAAGTCGCTGGCTCTCAGTGTTGATTTCTATGCACCGCCACTCTTCCCTGAGGCCCAGGAACAATCCACTAAATGGTGCTTGTGTATATGAAATGCGGCGGATATTCTCATCCATCTTTTCGGCGGCGAGCGAAAGGGGGGAAGTGAGAAGGAGAAGGCCTTCTGAACAGGCGGCGGGACTTCTCAGAAGCCCTCGCGCCTCCTGAGAAGTGTTCTGCGCCTTCGTGAGAGGCTTAGAACACTTCTCAGAAGGCCAGGAGGCTTTCGAGAATTCTGAGAAGGCCTTTTCCTCCTCACTGCCCCTCCCCCCTCGCTTGCCACCGATCCGAAAATTTTCTGCCGTCTGCAAAAATGCCTCCTGATGGAGAAACCATAGAAGGTACCGACACCGCTGCTCCCCGGATCTCTCCCAGGGTGCGTTCTGACCAGAATTTCGAAGCGAATCCAACGGTGGTGACGAGGTCCTCCCGGAAACGGCAAGGCCGTTTTTTCACCGTTTCCGGAAAAGATTCCCTTGAAAATGGAAACGGCAAAAAAAGGCGACCGGAAACGGCAACAAAAACGGCTCCAGGATTGGAACCGGAGCGGGAACCCGCAAACCAACGGCGACGGAACAGGTAAAAAAACGGCATCGGAACCGGCAAAAAAACGGAATAACGGAACCGGTAAAAAAACGGCCCTATCGTTTCCAGGGCCCACTAAGCCGCGGCCCCTCTGTCGGGCATGGCCAGGACCCCAGGTAAGGTTAGGTCGGGCCTGCCGTGCCCCCCTTCAGGGGGATTCTGGACGAAGATAAGAAATCCCCAAAAAAGATTCAAAAGATGCCCCCAAATACTAAACAAAAATGCCCCCCTCACGATTTTTTTACTATTTTTGGATATCCCTCCTGGAGAGGGACAGGCCCGACTTAGCGCCGCGCACCTTCGTTTTGAATCTGCGCGAGAGTTTCATGCATGGAACGCGATCTGCCCCCCCCCATGGGTCTGGCGGTCTGGCCTGGGCGGCCCAAAATGGGGTCCAGCTGCAAAGGGGTGATGCAATAGACTTGGGGCAATTGTATTGCAGACGTATTGCGCCGGAGACTTGTATTGCATTGTATTGCAGGTCACGTGTTGCGCGCGAAAATACAGCAATACATTTGCGCCCCGAAACGTTTTGCACGCCCCAAATGTATTGCAACCCCACAAATGTATTGCACCACCCCCTTGTCGCTGGACCCCCTTTTGGGTCAACCCGATCTGGGAGGCCCGTTGCCGCCAGCCGTCGCCGCGGTGCTCTGCGGCGCTTTGCGCCACGCAGCTTGCACCGCATGGACTGGACCGCCTACAGGGCAGCTTCTAATACATAGGATTTTTACTCCTATGGGATTTTTGCTTAACACATGATCAGTTTATGAATCAATTTACGCATGAACTCATCGTTGGTTTTACTACTAAACCCCTGCATTTTCAATACATGATCCGCACGCGGAGCATGTATTAAAAACGGCACTGTAGATTGCACCAAATGGACTGCACCGCCTAGGTTCAGTCTGCGCCGCGTGGATCGCAAGACACAAAAAAATGACCATGCTGTGTTCCTTGTTGATCAGGAAGGCTCCGAGCGAGAACTGCGACCCGACATGGCTCAAGCCGAAGACCGACATCTGGAGCCCCACCACGCCGCGGAGACCGAGACGCCGACGCCGACGCCGACGCCGACGACGAACAACGACGACGGACGACGCTGACGCCGACGCCGACGCCGACGACGAACAACGACGACGGACGACGACGATGCCGAACGACGACGACGAGCAAACACGACGACGAACAACGACGACGACGACGACGAAAGCGACGGCGACGGCGACGACGGCGACGACGAGCCGCTCCGCGGGGGAGGGGGGCGCGCGGCGCCCCCTCGGCGGTGGGAGCTGCCGCGGCGACCCGCGCCCGGCGGAGGCCCCCGAGCGACGCCCGGCCCGCGCCGCGGGCTGAGACTAACGCGGCGCGCGCGCGCGCCGCCGCGGGGCGCAGCAGCCCCTGCCCAGCGGGCGCCTCTTCCTTCTGCTCCTCCTCCTCCCTCTTCTCCAACTCCTCCTCCTCCTCCTCCTCCAATTTCTTCTCCTCCCCCTTCTCCTGCTCCTGCTCCTGCTCCTGCTCCTCCTCCTGCTGCTCCTCCTCCTGCTCCTCCTCCTCCTCCTCCTCCTCCGCCTCCTCCTCCTCCTCCAACTCCCTCCTCCTCCTCCTCCCGAGGATGCCTCGAGAATCTCTCTGAGTCTCTGAGACCCTCGCGGCGCTGGAGGCCGCCTCGGGCGCCGCGGCCTCTCCTCGGAGCCTCCCGTGAGCGCTCCGGGAGCCTTCACGGAACGCCCCGGCACGGCTCGATCCTCGCCCCGGCCCCGTCGGAAGCCGCAGCCCTCGAGCGCCTCCCTTCGTTGGGCGCCCGAGTAACTCGGGTCAGGGGTAACTCGGGTCCGGGGTAACTCGGGTTTGGACTCCCGGAAAAGGAACCCGAGTTAGCCCTGACCCGAGTTACCCCTGATGATGTGGGGCTCTGGACGCCCGAGTTATCCGGGGTAACTCGGGTCCGGGGTAACTCGGGCTTGGATTCCCGAAAAACGAACCCGAGTTATCCCTGACCCGAGTTACCCCTGATGACTCGGGGCTCTGACTTCGCGCAGCTGGAGGGACGTCGGGGAGGGCTGGAGGAGGGCCGGAGTCGGGGAGGTCGGGGGGACTTCGGGGAGAGGGGGGGGGGCGGGATCGAGGATGCGGGGAATCGAAGGGGGGGGGGGGGGCGAGGACGAGGATGGGAGCATCGAGGAGGGTCGAGGAGAGCCGGCGCGGAGATCGAGGAGCGGGATTCCCAAGCTCGAATCGTCGGCGACGGACGGCACCGGACACGCGGAGTGGCGCGAGCAGCCTCCCGGAGGATGCCCCTGGAGGCTTCGGGGGGGGCTCCCCGCGGAGACCGAGGGGGGCGCCACACGGCTGCAGGAGCCTCGGCCCGCCTCGCGGAGCCGTGGTCGCCCTCCCCCTCGCCCTCGCCGCCCTCGTCGCCGCCGCCCTCTCCCTCCTCGTCGCCCTCCTCGTCTCCCTCCTCGTCGCCCTCCTCGTCTCCCTCCTCGTCGCCCTCCTCGTCTCCCTCGTCGCCCTCCTCGTCGCCGCCGCGCCGTCGCCGCCGCTCCCGCTCGAGCCGCGCCGCCCGCGAGGCCCGGGGAGCACGAGCCGCTCTCGAGGGCGCAGCGCGCGGGCGCGCGCGGGCCGCGCCGCGCAGAAAACGCGCGGGCGCGCGCGGGGACTTGCCACGACCTGCTCCTCCTCCTCCTCCTCCTCCTCCTCCTCCTCCTCCTCCTCCTCCTCCTCCTCCTCCTCCTCCTTGCCACGACCTGCTCCTCCTCCTCCTCCTCCTCCTCCTCCTCCTCCTCCTCCTCCTCGTCCAAGCTTTTGCCTGGCAGTCCAGGGGCACGAATTTGTCACGACACTGTTTCGGCTGAGCTTAGGCTTTCCCGGCGCACCAGGCATCAGAAAGGTTGCATCAAGTCGGTGTCATCGGTCTGGACTCGAGCACGGGCGAAGCAGGCATGCTACGACGTCGACGACTCGTGCAAGCCTTGCCTGGAAGGCAGGGACACCATCTTGCACAGGCTTTGGCGATGCACGGCGGTGCAGACCGAGCGTGAAGAGTCTCTGTCCAGGCTCACAGGCGGGTTCGAGATGTTCCCTCCCCCTGATCTTCCTGAAGCCCAGGAGGAAGAAATCCTCCTCTACACCAGTGGATTGTTTCGACACCCTGGCGACGTGCTGAGCCGCCCTGCCCGCGATGATACTTATGACCATGGTGTTGAGGTTCGTTGGAGGGATTACTCATAGAAACTAGTTTCGAATATTTGCGGGGACACATCTTCGTCGACGGATCCAGTATTTCTCACAACATTCCTGAACTATCCAACGCTGGCTGGGGGGTGGTACTAGTAGATGATGAGGCGAACGAGCTCGCCCGCTTTAGTGGGCCAATCTGGGC